TGCGATCCGTTGCCGGTCACGAAAAAAAGACAAAAAGGAAAAAAAAAAAAAAAAGAAAGAAAACCAAAGGCTGTCTGCTGCTGAATTCCCTCTTGCTTGGGGGAGGTCGGTCTTTTGCTCATCCAGACCTTGAACTGATTAGATGAGACCCACATCATGAAGGGCAATCTGCTTTACTCAAAGTCCAAATGTAAATGTCAATCTCATTCAAAAAATACCCTTACAAATACCCATCCCAAATAATATTTGACCAAATGTTTAGGCATCATGGCCCAACATAGTTGACACATAAAATCAACCATCACACACTCTAACCAGGAATGATTATGCCCATTAAAACACAAAGCCCAAGCACTTTTCTATAAATGAGGTCTTAGGCTCTTATGCCAAACCTACTGGCTCAAATTTGTAAAGCAACTTGGCCCATCATCCTAACAACCTTTGTCATCTGCTTCACAAACCTGGGCACTTGAGAAACAAGGGAAGGAGGTAGACAATGAAGATTTGCTACAAGCAGATGCCAGAAACAGTGAGGAGTGACTGCTCACAGGCTGATAGCAAGCAAGAGACAGAAGATCTACAAACAGTTGGCAGAAGAACTATAAAGGGTCAGCAGACTAGCGCCTTTGAGGGTTAAGACAAATTGTTCTGCCTGCTTCATGGAGTGAGGCTATAATATAGCCCAGTATAGCAATTGATGTTCTTAATTTACCTGGGTCTCTAAATAAGAGCACATTTGGGTTAGGGCTTTTTATAAGTATAGCTGTTACAAAGGATAGGATGGAAGAAAAAAGGGCAGTTTTTAAAAGGATGGGGCAGGGGCATGGTAGTCACTGGCTGATATGTCACCCCTATCCCCATGTTCACTCCCGAATGGGGAATACAATAGTTTATCTATTGGCTCTTTAAAAATTGGCCATTTCCCCTTTCTCAGGGCAATGTTATACACATCTCATTTTAAGAGAAATATGCTCCTCATTCTTGGGCATATGGTTTGGGTGAGATTAATATCACTCATTCTCTAGAGGTGGCCCTTATGGCTTAAACCAATCTAAATATGCCATCTGCCCTTCTGCCCTTCATTCAGAAAGGAGAGCATATGTAAACTGGCATGGCATTGTGGTGATGCAAGGGGATGTTTGCTGGGGGCCTCTGAGGAAAAGACCCTTTCTTTCCTTCTGCTCATTGGAAGGGGGAGCAGGAAGCATCCAAGTCAGGGAGGGAGTTCTCTCCGTGAATAATGAAGATGAAACCCAAATTACAAAAGGCAGAGAGGATAAATGGAGAGAAGTTTAATTCTTACATTGTATGGGCAGCTGCAAACGTCACCTGAAGCTGCATAGGGTTTTAATTTATACAAAGATACTTCAGAAAGTTCATGGAAAGATTTGCATTATCTTTAAATTCTATTTTCTGCAAACTTTTGTTTTTAAGTCACTGGCTTGCTTTTAGTTTAACCTTTCAGCTTTTAAAGGTATAATCAAACAGGTAAAGGTAATAGGAAAGATTTCCCAATATTTCATGTGTAAACTCAAATTTTAGGTTCTTCTTTGGAGTAAAACAGGCTCTTCTCTGTTTTCTCAAGTTGCAAAAATTCTCTCTCCATCTTCAACGAACTTTTTGAAATACCCTCGTATACGCTAATGAATTCTTTCTGATTAAGACAATCTGAACTGATTTTTGGCTATTTGCAATGAAATGATACTTGAACAGAATCTTAAAAGAGTAGAATTTTGACTAGAAAGGAATGAATTGAAGGGTATCCCAATAATAATAACAACAGTACTAACAATATCGACTATAGCAAAAATGTACCAAGGGCTTAGTATATTCCAGAAACTCTGCTTAGTGCTTCATTAATCATCACAAACACCATATGAGATTGGTGCTATGATTATCTCATTTTTAGATGAAGAAGCTGAAGCTCAGAGAGGCTAAGTGACTTGCCCAAGGTCACACACCTGGGAAGTGAACTGAACAACAGGTCTACCTGATGCCCAGGAATATGCTCTTTTCATGCTGCCTGTCTGTCTCGTCTAAGCCTCCAGGCAGACAAGTGAAAAGAAGAGTCCATGAGCTGAACAAACATGGCCAGAGGAAGGTGGAACTACTGATCCATGGAGTGATGACGAGAAGAATGGGACAGGCATGAGGGTAAGAAGCTGTTGGTACTCAGTGGTGACAAGGTTTAGTTGCAGCCATTACTATCATCCAGTGCACTCATACAGTTCTGAAGCTACTCAGGATCCGCCAATAGAGCTATGTTCAACCACTGCCCAAGTTCAAAGCAGGGTCATCTTGCCAAGATATTCATAACCTATTTATTAATTCATGCAACAGCCATTGGATTGTCTATGCCTCAAGCACCCTGCTTGGTAAGCAAGACAGTTAAGGTAACTATCCCTGCAGACCTTACAGTCAAGTTGGGAAAGACAACATTAAACAAATAATTATGCCTGTAAACATACAATGATCAACTGTGCAAAGTGCAGTGAGGGACAAGAACGAAGTGCTATAATAAAGAAGGGAGACCTAGTTTAGATTGGGAGAGTGTGTGCAAGTGGGTAAGCCTCTCCATGGAAGTGTCATTTAAACACAGGCCTTGATGTTCAAATGGGCTTTAGCTCAGCAGGAGCAGATGCATTCTAAGCAGAAGAAACCGCGTATGCAAAGAGGGAAATGGATTTCCATGTTTAATGAACTGAGAGGCCAGTGTGGCTGCAAAGTTAATGGGTGAGAGGTAGACAGGAGCTGGACCACAGGGCCCTGAGGCCACCATTAGGACTTTTGATGATTCTCATTCATTCCCTCCTTGAACATTTCCCGAGAAACCTCCTCTGGACCAGGCCATAAGTGAGGAGTATGAATATAGTAATTAATAATAATAATTTTATTATTATTATTATAATGGCTAATATTCATTAAGTACTTACCATTTGCTATTAAAACTATTATTCTAAGCACTTTGACACATGAACTCATTTAAGCCTCCCAGCAGCCCTATGACCTAGATGCTATTATTGTTCCCATCTGACTGATAGGGAAATTGAGGCATGGAGAAACTACATAATTTTCAAGATCATACAACCAGCAAGTGGTAGAACCAAGATGAACCCAAGCAGTCTGAATCCAGAACCCATAGTCATTTATATTCTTAACCACTATGATTTACGTGCAACTGTAGTCCAAGGATAAAGGACAGTCCTCCTGGCCGTATCAGCCACCCAAACAGAGCTTTAAATGAAGGTAGCTAGTTTAGAAAAGAATTTCCCAAATTTGGCAGATCATAAGAGCGCCCTGGAGTACCTGTTAAAAACAGATCATTTTCTTACAGATTTGGATTCAATAGGTCCACCCTGGAATTTGTATTTTTAACAAGTTTGACAAACGTGGCTTAGTAGCTCAGTGCAATGGCTTTTGAGCTGGACAGATCCCAGTTTGGGTCGCTTGCAGCTTTACCACTTTTCTAGATGTGTGTCACTTTTTGCAAGTCACTTCACCTCTTTGAGCATCAGTTTCCACGCCTGACAAATGCAGCTAAAGACAGCGCACCACCTTCTAGGGCTGCTGTGCGGATTAAGTGAGCTGCAGCGAAGCACATACCGAGTGCCTGCTGCACAGCAAGCGATGATAGTAACAGAATGAGGTTGGCGATGACCCGAAGCTCCAGCTGCCTTAAAATTAAGAGTCATAGATCACAGGGGACGGCTTGGAGGATTTTCCTGAGACAGGGCTCAGCCATTTTGACCTTATGATAAAGTTGCCAGACAAAATTCAGGACGTCCAGTTAAATTGGAATTTCAGATAAGCAACGAAAAAAATATATAGCACAAGTATATCCCAAATATTGCATGGGATATACTTATACTAAATCAATCATTCACTTTTTTGTTTGAAATTTCAAATTAACCAAGGGGGGCGGGTCTTGTATTTTTACTTGTTTAATCTGGCCACGTTACTTTAGGGAAGGACTGGCCCAGAAGCCTGAACCCAAAGGTAGCTCCTCCGCCCACGTGGGCCCAGACACTGGGCCTCCACTCGCCAGGCGCCCGGGTCGATCCCAGAGGGGCAGCTCGCGCCTCCGCCCCATCCAGGCAGCAGTAGCTGCGCCCCGAGCGGCCGAGCCCCGCCCCGGTCCGCCCCGAGCAGAGGGCGTCGCCTCGAGCGGGGCCGTTGAGCTGTGTGGAGCCTAGCGGTTCCCTCCCACGCAGTGTGCTCAGACAGGCCAGAAACCCGCTCGTCATGTCTGCTGCAGAGGAGGGGGGTGTTTTCCGCAGAGCCCGGGGCAGGACTCTGGACGCGTTTCCCGAAGGTACTGCCTGCCGGCCCCTTGGCCCGGGGAGGGGACGCCAGGGCTGCGGAACCTTGCGCCGGGGGAACCTTCGGTCCGGGTGCGCGCCCCTCCAGACGGATTCCATCAGGGGCTGCACCGGGGGGCTAGGGACCGTATTAGCGGCCGCACCGCCTACACTTCGGGCTTTTAGGGGCGCTGTTGAGAGGCGAGTGGGAGCGAGGGGGTCGGTCCCTGAGCTGCGCTGTCCTTGACCTAACTTCCCCGAGAGAAGGGAACTAGGAAGAAGGCAGCAAAGCGCGGTCAATAATCTCCTGGGTCTGCAGTGAGATCTGGTTTCCAAGCCCTGCCTTGGCTACATTCCTCAGCAGGTCTTGGCCTCAGCTTCTCATCTGTAAAATAGGAGTAGTAGTGAGGTTATGCCATCGGTGCATGTTAGAGGCTGTATTTTTATCCAGGTCGTTCACCGTCGTGTATTTTATACTCCATAATTACGGCTATGTACTATAGTATGAGTCATTCACCGAAATGTTAACAGTACCCATCAGAACAATAGAGAGGGAAAGGCGTCTAGCGTCGTGGTAGAGTTAAGTGCTCGGACTTTGGATTTAAGATAATCTGCCTCGCTGTGAAAATGGGTTTGATAATACCTGCCTCACAGGGTTGATGGAAGCATTAATAGATTAAAGGTATTTCTGTAACCCAGTGTCGGACACATGCTAGGTACTAAGTGAATATTAGTTCTTGAGCTATAAGTCAACAGAGAGCTTTGTTCCTGGTTCCTTGGTTCCCTGTGTGTTTTTTTGCTGCTTAGAGTGGACTTCCCTCCCAGGGACTCACCAGCTTTCTAACCCCAGGGAAGTCACCGCAAATACCCTGCATGATCTGGCTTGTGTCCACTTTTCATGCTTCATGCTTCCTACTCTGGTTTGCACAATTCGCCTGCCACACTGGTTTTCTTGAACTGTATTTAAAAGGGCGAAGGTCTTTCCCTCCTGAGGACCTTGGCATCCGCTCTTCTTGGCACCTGCTGTTCTCTGCTGTAACAGCTACTGGCAGGGCTGGTGAGCCTGGCTCCTTCTCAACCCTCACACCTCATTTTCAAGTTCAGTCACTTCCTCAAAGGGACTTTCCCTGGCTACCCCATCTCAACTAGATTTCTCCTGTAATTCCCTGCTAGAACCTTGTTCTTTTCCTTCTTTGCAACTCTTAGTCGGGGAGTGGCAAGGTTCTGGAAGAGCATGATCATGTGGGGCCACAAATGTAGCTGTGGGGAAAATACAATCTGTTGTAGTACCATTCTCTACATATTTTAACGCACCTGTCTTTTTCTCATAACATGAAGTTTTTGACATTTATCGGTATTGAGATAAGGAGCTCTGCTTCACTCATTTTCCTGTGGGGCAGTCTTCCATTGTATGAGTTTATACATTGTACATTCAGTTGATGAATATGCTGAGTGTCTTGCCTTTGCCTCTCCAAATCTCCTCTGTTCCTCCCCACCATGCCTCAGAGGATTGACCTTTTTGAGCTACATCCATGGGCCCCTTGCCCTCTGGCTTCCCCTTGAGTTCAGGCACTGGGGAGCCCTGACCGGAGATAGAGGAGGAGGAAGCAAAAATCAGGTATTTGTTCCTGCAATTTACTTCCTCTGGGGTTGCCTTGGGCTGGCTGTATGAAGTTCATAAATTCTTATTACCTTTTAAGGTCATTTTTCCGTGAACTTTTTGAAGTGCCCTCTATTTCTTCCCTGAAGGTTTCTGCTTCTTTCAAGACAGCCTTTCTACTCAGGCTCTCTTTCCAGATTTGGGTAGACACTTCCACCCTTCCTCCTTTCAGAGCAACAGCTCTGCTTTTCTATCTTTGGGCTTCTAAATTGTCCCCTGTAGTTTCTCTACATCCAACCCATTCCAAGTAATCCCTTTTTAGACACTCCTTTAATTGTCCTAATTTGAATAAGCCAGCTATTTCCTGCTTTTATCCTGACTGATACAATGGCCATTTTGTTGTTTCTATTTCTCACTCTTGTTAACTGTGCTGTTATGAACATTCTCATACAACTCTTTTAGTGGATACATGGGAGAACTTCTCTAGGGCATATACCCAGGAGCGAAGGTCTGTGTTGTAGGTTATAACTATCCCCAGGTTTACTAGATATTGTCAAATTGCTTTCCAAAGTGGTTGTGCCAATATATACTCCCACCAGCAATGTGTGAGAATTCCCTGCTACTCTCCTGTATCTCTCTTCAGTTCGAGAAGTATTTATTTTGTTCCAATTGCATTCTCCAGTATCTTGTGGAGAGTAGAAAATGGGGAGGGAGGCAAGTTACATGTCCTCCAGGGATTATAAGCTAAGCACAGAGCTATGGCACAAAAAATAATCCTTGGCAACTGATGGGCTCTAAGGGCCACAGCAGTGGGAGGAGTTGGGATTTTAAGTATTGGACCAGGGTGATGGTGGGGCTGTTAACTGAAATCAGGGAGTAAGGAGTAAGGGCAGGATTGATGAGATGGACTTGAGGTGTCATTGGAATTCTGAGGCAACTTGTGGGGTGCAGTGCACAGCTGGGGATGTAGGTGTGGGTGCTATCTGCAGAGCGGGGAGTAGATGGTGTTGCTGTACTAGACAATGGCATTGCTAAAGGGGAAAGTGTTTCATAGCAGACTGAGTGTGTCTATGTGTGTAACCTTAGGATGTGCCAGTGTTTATGGGTAAGAGAAGGACACACTGAGGGGCTCAGAGCAGGAACAACCAGACATTCTGCAAGATAAAACCAGGAGCTGGCCTTGGCGCCAAAGCTTGGGAGGAGGACTCTGGAAGGGTGGTGCTCAGGCTCAGATGTTGCCGAGGAAACAAGGTAAATGACAGCTGAGCAGAGGATGGCAGGTCTAATTGCTAGGTGACCTTCAGGAAGACAGTTTCAGTAGAGTTGTAGGGGGAAGCCTGGTACACAGTGATTGAGGAATGGTTGGGGGTGAGGATGTAAAATCAGCAAGGGTCGGGTCCTGTTTGGAGTCATTTGGTGATGTAAGATTGACATAGGATAGTAGCAGCTTAAGGGAGGAGCAAGGCTGAAGGAAGGCTTCTTTAGCAAAGAGAACTTAGCTGAAGGGTTTGAAGTAGTAATACTGATAAGAACAATGGAGCATCTGACATTTGTCAGGTGTTTTCTGTGCCAGGCACTGCACTCTGTGATATATATGGATGATCTCGTGTCATCTTCAAAATAGTCTTGTCAAGGTAGGTGTTCTGATTATCCTTTTTTACAGTGGAAGAAAATCAAGCTTAGAAAGGTTAGGCAACTTGCCCAGGGTCACATGATTGGTCTGAGCTGGGTCTAGGGTTGAAAATGCAAAAAGCAGGATAATTGTTGGACAGCGATACCTGGGGAAGTGGGAAATGATGGGATCGAAGGCTCAAGAGAGGGGATGTCCCTGGAGCAGATCGATTCTTCAACCATCTGTCCCTCTGTTCATTCATCTATACATCCAGCTGTTTGTCCATCTGTCTGTTTGCCAGGCCATCCATCCACCAGTCTATCCGTCATATGTCCCTCCATCTCTTCATCTGTCTGTCCATCCATCCCTCAGTTTGTCCATCTGTTTGTCCACTCATCATATGTACTGAGCACTTGCCTCTTTCCAGACATTGCGCTAGATGCTGGATAAGTGAAAACAAGATGTGATCCTATGCTTCTGGCACGTAGCTACTTGGAGAGCCTGACACTGATCCTGCAGTCGCACAAACCAGTGTAAATGACAGTTGTGACAAATGTCAGGGAGGTGAGGGGTAGTTTTCATGAGAGCCTCTCACTGGAGCAGCTGACCTAATAAGGACATTCAGGGAGGTCTTCCCTGAGGAAGTGGTATGTCCCCTGATTGCTAAAGGATGAGTGTGAGTTAACTGGGCCACGAAGGAAGGGAAGACCATTGTGGACCCTGGACAGAGAAGGTGTGAAGTCCTCTGGCATGGCAGGAGGGCAAGGGAAGGATGAGGGGTGAAAGGAAGCCACTGAGTCTGGAGTGGAAAGACAAGGCTGGAGAACTGGGGGTGGGGGATGGGACAGTAACCAAGGAGTTTTATCCTAATAGCATCAAAGGGTCTTAAGCTGGGTGTGCAATGAAACAAGGACACATGGTCAGATTTCCATTTGGAAAAAGAATGGTCTGGCTGCAGCAAAGGCCACAGAAGGATTTCTACTCTAGAGCAACCTGATTGGAAGCCAGAGCTCCAGAACTTGTCCTGAAGCTACAGTTCCATAGCACCAGATTGTTTACCTCAAATGCACATGTGTTGAGGGGTAGCTTCCGATGGAGATTATGGGAGCGCTGACGTTTGAGGCATCCCAGACCACTGGAGCATCCCCAGTGGGACTAGAGGATGAGAGAGTCATGTGTTGAGGGGTAGCTTCCGATGGAGATTATGGGAGCGCTGACGTTTGAGGCATCCCAGGCCACTGGAGCATCCCCAGTGGGACTAGAGGACGAGAGAGCGGTTCACTTGGACAAGAATGGGAGAGATGGAGAGAGACTTAGAGGGTAAATCAATAAGACACTTACCCTGCCCAGATGGGAAGAGAGAATGACTCTGAACTTTTCTCAGCGCTGACTAAGTCTAGAAGTGGGGCCTGCATGTGATCTCCTCTGTGGGCCAAGCAGTCCGAGTAGCATGCTCAGTATAGGTCATTTGAGAAGCCTAACCTTGGAGGGTTGGGCCGAGAACCCTTAGTCTTAGGGGTTCTCTTAAGAGGTGCTGACCCCCTAGTCTACCATTGTCACTAACATTGTTCTCATTGACTTTCCCCTGGGTCCTAATTCTGCTGGCAACTTTGAAAAGTGCTCTGAGGAGTATCTAATCCCAGTCCAGGCTTTGTGGGAAGGGACAGCCTCAAGCTGGTTGAGTTGCCCCAAGGGCAGACTCAGAAGAGAAGGTGAAAGAATTGGCTTTTCCTCATCTCTTGCCAAAACACACCTACTGTCAAAGAATTCAGTTAACTCAAGCACCGATTGCTACAATCACA